CTACCAGGTTCCATTCTGCTTTTTAAGGGTCGATACCTTTACAGCTAATTTTATTGTAAATGTTTTCCTGGTTCCTTGGACTTATTAATGAATTGCTGCACGCACACACACACACACACACACACACGCACACACACACGCACACACACACGCACACGCACACACACACACAGAGGCGTGCCCTAGCAGGCACCCTCCAGGGTTGATGGAAATGGATGAAGAACATGTGAGAGATTGTGTAGGACACTTGATGACAGAGTAGAGAAGTAGAGTGTATCCCCCAGTTTATGCAACTACTACACAGGTCACTGAGGAATGATGTAAGGGAAGAAAGGAAAAGAGACAAGAGAAGCAACAAAGGAAGTGTGCATTGCCCACCTTCCCATTGAGAATCTGGAAGATGAGGTCACCAAGGCCTTTATACAAAGGCAACTCCCAAATCTTGATGATGTGTATGACCTTGGGCCAGAGTCCCATCCCATGTGTGTCCAGCACTGAGTGATACAGCATTCCAGTCTCACTAACTCTAACTTGATCTCTTTCTCTGCCTTTCTAGAAAGCCCCTTAGAAGAAACAAGTAAAGGAGGTTATTCTGAGAGCAACCTTCAATGCTTTCCAATTTAGCTTCCCTTCCATGGCCTTCATTTACAAATTCGTTATGTAATTCATTTGTTATTTAACAAATATATATATACGTATATATATGTGTATATATATATGTGTGTGTGTATATATATATATATATATATATATATATTTTTTTTTTTTTTTTTTTTTTGGTACCGGGGATTGAACTTGGGACTTTCCACTTACGAGGCAGGCGGTGGAACCACTGAGCTAAATCCCTGGCCCCTTAACAAATATTTCTTGATCAGATTCCTCTCCAGGTGAATTTGATTCAGCAGTGAATTCAGCTGAAATTATTAAGGCATGTTAGTACATACAAAGTACTGACTCTCCCAAATGTTTTAAATATTTTGACTCATTTAATCCGTACAGCAGCACATCAATGCAGATACAGTTATTATCCCCATTTTTAAGATAAGGGGACAGAGTACAGAGAAATTAAATAGTTTGCCCAAATGTCCCAGCAAAATTTTACCCCAAGGCAGTCTAGCTCTGAAGTCTTCACTCTTAAATATGCCAACATGCAAATGAGATCCCCCCACTGTTTAGATTCTTCTTAGTGGGCTAACAGTGGGATAAAAAGTTATATCATTTTATGGACTGATAAGAGCTTAGAAGAAATAAAGTGTAATAAAGAATAGAGGAATAAGATACCAGCCACTGCATCATACCATCCTCTCACGCCCCAGTACCTTATTTGAGAACCTGAAAGTGGCAGATTCTTCCTTAAATGAAAACTGCCCTCCAAGCTGCCACTGAAGGACTCCAAGGAGCAAGCCAAAATAGATGTCCTCCCTCCACTCTGAAAAATGCCTTCTCCCAGGGTAATTTGATTGGTTGGACAGTAAGTACTACAACTAGTCCTAAGCCGTTTCTGTGCCCCTTGGCTGGCGGGCCAGCTCAGCGAGAGATGACGAATGCACGAATTAGTAATGAGCAATAGCCCTGCACAAGTAATCACCTTCCCCAAACTTTTCCTCATGGGGGTGATAACTTGGACCCCAAATGAAGTCTATTCTTCTCACCTTGGCACCAAAGAAGTTACAGTCATTCCTCTGGCTGACAGCAATTTGTAGACATAGGTCTTTGCAGTTGGACATTTACGGGGTTGCTAAGGAACAAATGCTTTGGTTACAAAGGTCTCCGAAAGCAGTATCGGTTTGTCATATCCCTTCACATCATTTATTTTAGCCCATAAAGACAGCTGTGACCAACGGAATATGAGGTAGAGAGAAGCTAAAGACAAACAATTATTTCCTGAGATAAGGGACAAATTTCCTCTTCCTAGGCAGTGGCTGTCTGCAGCCCCCAATGTGTGAAACCAGAACCATGTGCTGCTTTCCTGTCACCATTCTGATTTACAAGTAGGTGACTTATAGTCACTACTTTTTAAAATGCTTATTATCTTCAAGGCTCTGCCCTAAGCATTATCTCATGTCGTTCTTACCACAGCCCTGAAAGTCAGGTCCTATTGCCCCCAGTATGAAAACCAGAAAGGGAATAAAAACAGATATATTATCTAGCAATATTGAGTGACAGAGTCAGAATTCAAACCCAGGTGTGTATGATAGCAAAGCCTATGTGCTTAAGATTGTAGAGTCTTTGGTCTTCAATGGTCACATTTTAGATGGGAAAACGGGCACTTCTGATGTTGGGGAAGTCACACTGGGAGATTCCTGGCTTTTTTGTGAGTTCATGAGACAGGTTAGAACCTGTCTAGAGCCTGTAAAAACCTTTGTATGGAAGGGAAGGCAGAGAGGGAGTTTAGTCCCACAGTGGTGGTTTTTATCTGCTGAAGACCTGCACTTGGAATGCTCTCTGACGTCAGAGTGCAGGTAACTTTTCTATGTGGTGATATTTTGAAAGTTTAGTCCATTCCTACTGAGGTTCTGTCAATTTTCTTGTCAACAAGTAAGAAACTGGGGTCCTCTTTGCCACCTTCTTCATCCCCTCTGTGCAGCCCTCGGGCAAGCCCTGTGTGCTGTCCCTTAGAAATGTTCCTTCAGTGTTGTGCCCTCTCCTCATCCCCTGTCCTTACCAGACTCCTCATCATGGGTGGATTCCTTCAGCCCCTACTTCCTCACCAGTTTTCCTACTCACTCTCCTTCCCTCAATAGACAGTGTCATAGCCTGCCAGAAAACACTAGTTCCTCAGAACTTCCCTTTCATCCCATTAGTCACTGCTCTAGAGTCTTCAGTGGCTCCCACTCACCTGCCATCAAATCACACCTGTTATTTACAGCAGGCCGAACTTTTTAAAGTAATACTTGCTCTTCCCATCCTCTTGACCCATGTACCCTTAGCTGACCACTCCATTTCTCATGAGCTCTGAACCTGGTTTCCATTGAAACAGAATTCAGCATGTAAATGCTGGTTTATACAAGGCCAGGCTCTAGGAAAGTAAGGGCATTGTCGCTGAACCAATCTACGTCAGAATTTTTGCTTGGCCACTTAGGAGTTTTGTGACATTGGACAAGTCACTTAACTTCTCTGATCCTCAGGTTCCTTATCTATAACATGTGGTTACAGCCTGGTGCTGTAGCTCAGTGATAGAGCACTTGCCTAGCAGGTACAAGGCCTGTGGTTTGCTCTCCAACACTGCCCAAAAACATATCCACAACAGAGTTTTTTCCAAGAATTGAAAAGATATGATGGTGATGATGATGGTAGCGGACATGTATGTTGTATTTGCTGTGTGCCGGGCCCTGTTCTAAATATTGTATTAATCTTTACAACAACCATATAACATAGGTACTATTATTTCATAGTTTTGCAGATGGGGAAACTGAGGCACAGACAGGTGAAGCTAGAAAGTGTCGGTAGCGAGGATTCTCTCCCAGGCAGGCCGGCTCCACAGCACTCCTTCTTAGTCACTTTCAGGAACAATCTTCTCCTAGGAAATGATCAACAAATAATAGCTGGTAATATGGGCCCATCATTCCATATGTGAAACTCCTGGGAAACCAGGCACATTTTGGAATTCAGGACTTGGAGCATTATAGCAAAGTTGTATTTGGCATTAACTGTGTGTTATAGAACACCCCAGTGAGTTCTGCAGCCACAACCCATATCTCACGTACATGTAAACACATACGTGCATGCAGACACACACACATATACACAGTAAAAGAAAATGTTGAGTTGAGGGTTTTTGGGTTTCACAGTTGCAGATAAGAGACTGCGGCCTGTAGTGATAAGACAAAAAGCAATTGTTTTAAGCATAATAAACAGTGGCTGTTATTTTTGTCACTATTATGTTTTATTTTTCTGTGTGAGCTCATAGTCAAAGGTATTGCAAAGTACGTCTGCTCACTAGTGGGTGAGAGGGAGGAGCAGGTGATGGCCAGGTCTGGTCCTTGGCTCATGTGTGGCGCTGTCCTGTTTCCCCAGTATGACTTCATGGAGCGTTTGGATGGGAAGGAGAAGTGGAGCGTGGTTGAGTCGCCTCGGGAGCGGCGCAGCATCCAGACCCTGGTTCAGAACGAGGCCGTGTTTGTGCAGTACCTGGATGTGGGCCTGTGGCACCTGGCCTTCTACAATGATGGCAAAGACAAGGAGATGGTGTCCTTCAACACGGTGGTCTTAGGTAGGTGCAGGGGTCTCTGAGATGAGATGCCAGAGTGGGAAAGCTGGAAATATCCTGGGTTCCTCTGTAGAAGACACACTGTCCAAGACAGTTTCTGCTTCCAATGAGACCAAACCGGAATCCTTCACTTAGGCTTCTGAGTATTGTGCTCCTAAATAAGCCCCAACCAAACAGGAAAGCTGCTTAGGCCAGGAAGGAGCTGCCATTGGCCCACGGTTACAGGTCAGAGCATGAATCAGACTGCTCAGGCATGTCCTGGGCACACAAGTAGACCCCTGGACTGTGTGAGCCTCGGTGTCCTCCTAGTAGAAGAAGCACTAGTGCCCAACCTGTAGGACTGTCTTATGTCAGGACTGGAGAAAAGACAATACCTGAGTCTCAGCATGTGGCAGAGACAGTGAACAGTGGCCATTCACATCAGCACTTCTTTCAAAAATAGGGGGCCTCAAAATTTTAAAAAAGCTTTTTTAAAACCTTAAGTTAAAAAAAAATCTTAAATCAAGGAAAGCATATAGATGTATTTTAAATTCTGTCTTTTTTCTCAAGTAGGCAGATCTCAAAAATGCTTTAATTAAGCATTTGTCTTTTCTGGCCTGCCTTAGCCCTGCTTTTTATTAGCTATCAAGAGAAAAGCTAAGGTTTTATCCAAATTTTCTTCTTCTGTGTGCGTAGAAATCCCATAAAGGGTCATTTATCTTAAGAATTTACAGAGTTTTCACAACAACCCTCAGAATTTTAACAAAGATGCTGCAGATGTTTTCATTCAGGTTATTTTTGCGGTGGGTTTTATCTTCTTCCTGATGGCGATAATCGATCTCAGGTCTGCGGATGAGGGCACATTGTTAGGGTTGAGATCCTTTTACAGAGGAACAAACTGAGGTCTAAAACTGTGGAAATGATGGCTATGCCATGGGCTTCTAGACCCTGTCTATTGCTTTTCCACAACACCGTGTTGTTCCACAAGCATTTAATTGTGGATCTCAAGATTTCCTGAAGAGATTGTATTAGAAGAGCTGGTAGCTCCAGGACTAAGTCCCAGATTTTCCTTCCCATACTTTAAACTGGGCAAAGTCACTGATTTTCCTGAGCCTCAATTTCATCATCTGTGGAAGGGTAACAGACATTGAAAGGTAACCAGATCCAAACGGGTGATGTGCAACTCACAAAAAATGGAATGCATCTGGCATGGAGTTGGTAGTCACTGAATGAGAGCCAGTGATGTTTTTAGGAACACATCCTGGGCAGCTGCTTTTCTGTTGACTGCATTTAAAGAGCTTCTCCACTGGCCCCCTGGATTCTTCTGAGGGCTCCCTGATTCTTGAATGATCTGTGTAATCCAACCTGAAATTCAGGCAACAATTCTTCACCAGTGGCTACACATTCAGAAATGTATAAAGTCTATATATAAAGTTCTGATATTGACCATAGGATTGCAGTCGTTCCCAGTTCCTGTGCTGAGGGTAGATTGGCCCTATTGAAGCTAGCCAAATGCTCTAAAGTAGGAGTTGGCACACTGTAGCCCAGGGGCCGAATCTGGCCTGCTGCCTGGTTTTATAAATAAAGTTTTATTGGAGCACAGCCACATTCCTCTGTTTACATATTGTCTGTGGCAGCTTTCCCACAGTAACGACAGAGTTGAGTCATAGCAACAGAGACCATATGGCCCACAGAGCCTAAATAGTTACTATCTGTCCCTTTACAGAAAAAGTTTGCCAACCCCTGATCTACAGTAATATCATCGCTTAGTATAATGAAAGTCGCTGGAGAAGCCCTCCACAGATGGGAAATGTCCAGGATGAGGTTAGGTACTGGTGGGGGAGAAAAGCAAAACGGTAGAGACTAGTTCACAAAAAGGAAGACATGAAAAATATATTTGGAACTTGTTTGAGATGTTGAGATTTTTAAAAATCTTTAGTTTAAGAACATGACGAGAAATGACTCCTTTTGTCACCTTGTGTTCAAACTCGGAAAGCTTGGCACATACATGACAGCCACACGACACACAGCACCTGGCACGGTGGGGTCTGTAAGCACTCAGTGAAATGGTTGGTAACAGCGATGACACGTGACATGGACTACTTACTGCTGGCCCATGACTTTGTTGCCCATTAGCTGGGTCAACCTACCAAGCACCTGTACGCAGTGAGTGTCATCCCGGTTCCCTCCACTTTCCAGTTGTGGAGGATGCTAAGGCTGAGAGACACTGAAGGACTTGTCCAAGGTCACACACACCCAGTAAGAGGTGAAGTCAGAACTCAGACTACCAGAGCCTGTGCTCTCAACTCCTGGGATTTGTTTTTTAATTCTGGTCGAATGCAACCCTTTTCTCATGAACTGCATGTTTTCTGCAAGGGCAGGTTATCTCAGACCAGCTTCTTCCCTCCTTTTCTTTCACCCATAGGCAGCTCTAGCCACCGTGACAGTGAGATTCCCTCCCCCAGGCCATTGTCCTCCCTCACCTGTCAGGGCTGGGAAGAGCAATTCTCCTGAGAGGATTTCTCTCTCATCTGGGAGGGCTCAGGGAGAAAGTCAAAGGAAATCGGCCTAATAGTTGGGCAGACGTCATGATAGAGCAATGATAGTAATTGGCCTGAAACACGGGGAAAAGAACAGTGTTTTATTTGGCTCAGAGGTTCTTCTCCACATACCTATCATCAGAACATTCTCCATCAAGAGCAGCCCGGAGGCCGAAAGCCCCTGTGATGAGAAACAGAAGGAAAGGTGTGAGACAGCATCAACTGGCGATCCCATTAAGTGCGCCTTTGTCTCAGGAGTCTGCCGTGTTCCACTGAGCAGCAGCCTGCCTTCAGAAAGGGGCATCCTCTGGGAACAGCAGAGTGACTTTCTGGAAGCAGGATGCCAGCCAGCCTCTGTGTGTTATGATCCTCTTCCTAGGCTGGCCCTATCTCCTGTCATTTCTTCTTCAGACGCTTAAACCGAATTGATAAGAAGAAAGATGGTAATATCTTAACTATAACATTTAACTGAGAAAGGGGACTGAAAACAATGGCTCCTTTGTACTTCAGCAGTACCACGTGATTGTACTTTTCCCTCAAAACTATAGAAATGCTTCAAATATAAAACCTCAAGTAAATGAAGTGATAAGTGCTCTCTGTTACAGTGTTTGCTTGTTCTGCATTCTCCTGCCCTCTTAGGTGTGCATGTGTGCCTACAAACACACACACACTACCACACTTTGACAATGTTTACCAAGCACTTCCTGTATGCCAGGCTTGGGGAATACCTCAGTGAACAGTGTGAGTCTGGTCTTTTCCTCAAGCTGCTTGATGGGAGAAGACAGATAATCAGGCAGCAATGACAGGAAAAAGAGGCACAAAGAAGCAAAAACAAGGGCTGGGGATTTAGCTCAGTGGTTCTGCCTCCTGCTGCACAAGCACAAGGACCTGAGTTCAATCCCCGTTACCAAAAAAAAAAGGGAGTGATAACAAAACTCAAATTGAGAAAAGGGAGTAGGAAGACACCCTAGAGCTAAATGACTTCCAAACTGACACATAAGGTTAGCGTGCCCAGGTGACACTTTCCAACCAAGTGAAGAGTGTGCTGAGGACCTCAGTCCTTGCTCGTGGGACTGTGGAGCCAGGGAGCCCCCTGAACCCTCGCTGCCAGTTTGGAGAACCAAAATCACTGGCCTCAGAAGTGTCCATTTCCAACAAACCCTACCCAGACCCATGTGCTCAGTGAGAAGCAGTCTCTACCTGCAGGCAGTAATGACTTCCAGAAATGTCAGCTGGGTGAGGTTGTTCCTCTGTTTACAATTTTTCATTTGGTCCTAGTGGTCCCAGAATAAAATCCAATTTGTCTGTGTGGGCTGGATAATCTTTAAACTCTTGCATCACTCTGTATATTTGATCCTCTCCAACCACACTGGATTGGGCTCCCTTCTTTCCCACCTCAGGGCCTTAGGATACACTGTTTTTCGTACCTGGAATACTCATCAAGATTTTCACTGGTGTGTTCCAGCTCATCCTTCCATGTCTTCTACATAGAATACAAAGGCCCTTCCTTATCATTCCCTTTAATTAGTATCTTCTTGTTACCTTCTATCCTAGTATCCTATTCTCTTCAAAACACATAAACATAGTTTTTACTTATTTTATTTCTTTGATTTGTTTTACTTGTATTCCCTATGACCATGGAAAGTTCTAGAATAGGTGGGATTGTGTCTATCTTATTCACCATGGCGTCTTCAGTTCCTTGCATAAAATAGGTGCTAAGTTAATAGATTGAACCCTATATCAAGAACTGTAATAAGTATAAGCTAACATGTTAGCCCACCACCATTTCATGAATGTCATCAGAAAATGTAAGACTACTGAGTCAGAGAAAAGGGATTACTGACTAGAGCAATGTCCAGAGTATCATCATGCATTCCCATGCCCCAGTTCCCACAGAACAAAGAGGGTCAGATACTCCCGCACATTCACCATGTTACAGTAAGGACAGAAATCCTGAGTTTACTGATCCTGAGTCTCTTAGAATGGGTGGTACACATGCTTATCCTTGTTCCATAGGGAGACATTATCTTTATTAAATCTGGTAATAAGTACACTTATGCTTTACTCTTCAGACAGACAGCGTCTATCTCCCAGGCTTTGCCCTACTTGGACAGCCTTGAAAACAACATTCCAGAATGACAGTGCCTCTGCTCCCAAGGCGTTCAGAAATGGGAGCGACCCAGGGAGAACTGTCTCTCAACACCATATAAAATTACTGGGTTTTGACCCACAAAAGCACCTCATGCTTTTCGAATGAATGTTGAGGACATGAAACACATAGGCAGCACTTGGGTACATACTTCTCAGGCCACCTTGAAAGAGCCAACCTCCAGAAGGTTCATCCTGGAATATTAATTGCTACATACCAAAAAAAGGCTTGATAGAGTCTACACTCCTTTCGCCTGGTTTTATAAAACCAAATGCACTTATTGAATTTTCCTCAGAGTGCCAGAAACCAACTACAGCCAGGTTCTAGAAGAACACAGCTAAGAAGTGAAACACAATAGAAAGAAAGCAAAATTGCATGGTTTGATTTTTCAGTTCTGAGTGGGAGTAAATGGGAAAATTGGCTTAAAGGAAACATATCCTCACCACTCCTAGGGAACTCCACGAGGAGCGATTAGACTTTACACCACATCACCAAGTCCACCTCCCCACCAAGTCCAGCTCTCCCATTTTGGGCCTAGTGGCTTGAGCTTTTCTTTTTATCATCTTCATACTTTAGAACCTGAAAATCTACAAGTGTTTTGTTTTCATTTAAGGCAAAAACAAGGATATGATAATTTTAAAGGGACACATCTATTTCTGGGCAGACCCAAATCAATATGAAAGAGATCCAAAATGATCCTCTGGAAGGTACAACCTGAGAGTAGGCATAGAAATAAGATGCTTGTGCAAGTTAGAGCAAATGTGAACTGATTTTCCTGTAAAATACAGTCCACGAAGGTGAAATATAAAAGGATTTGTGAATAACCAAAACCTACTACATAAAGAAGCCAGAGTCATGCCTACATGTATCTGTCTTATGTATAGCCATGTGTCACTTGACAAGGGAAATGCATGCTAAGAAGTGGTTCACTTGGCAATTTCAGTCTTGTGCAGACATCATGGAGCACTTACAAACAAATTTAGAAGCTAGAGTCTCCACATACCCAGCTATATGCCTGCACCGTCAGATGTACCATCCATCCCTGACCAAAACACCATATATGGCTCCTAACTGTATTTAAATAGTTCTTTTATTAGACTTCCTCAAAGCAGGAAACATTTTTACCCTGGAAACCTGACATTAGTAATAATCACTCTCATTTTGAAGAATTATCTCTATACCTGAGGCTAAAAACAGATTCCCCACATATCAGATCACATCTCAAATCCATGGGATGATTTTTTTCAGGGTAAGGAGGGACATAGTGTTTAAAAACTTTTCAACATTTTCAATATTTAAACAGTTTCACTGTTTTTGTGTCCAAGTAGGTGCTTTCTTCTGAAAAAAGCCAAAGTTAAGCTGTACAAGCCCCATTCTCCTGCCTGGATTCGACAGAAGGAAAGTGGGCGTTTCTTCCATGTACTAACTAAATTGTCCTCCGACTCCAACATTCCCTGTTCTCTAACTTTGTTCACTCATATTTCTTCTTGGTCCCCTGTGGGTATCCGAGTTACTCCCATCGGTCTTTAAAAATGGTGGATTGGGGCTGGGGATTTAGCTCAGTGGTTCTGCTGCTTGCCTCAAATACAAGGTCCTTAGTTCAATCCCCGGTACATCCCCCAAAAAAGCAGGCAATAGAGAGGAAGTGGTTGCTAAATCTCTGTCTCTATTTCAGATTCGGTGCAGGACTGTCCACGCAACTGCCACGGAAATGGCGAGTGTGTGTCTGGCCTGTGTCACTGCTTCCCAGGATTTCTAGGGGCAGACTGTGCTAAAGGTATGTGACAGTACCTTTCCTGCCGTGGCTGGAAAACCAGGTGTGAGTTGCTCAGAGGAGGTGAAAGAAGGCACCAAATAGCCTGCTAAGCAGGTCCCCCTGGGACATGGTACAAACCCATGCATGCTCTTCAGCAAAGAGTAGGTCTTGATATATGAACATTGGCCAACATACCTATAGGAGAAGGCAGTTATCTTTGGCACCAAGGTGTGCTGAGAAGAAAGATTTGCTAAAAATGAGATGGTCGGATTTCCCGTAAAAGCAGGAGTGAATTACCATCACTCCTTTCTTACAATCATTAACTTCTAGGTAATGGAAGATTAAGCATCTCAGGGTTAGTAAATTTCATTCATTCTGGCCAGCTACACTCTTAATCTAAGAAGCGCTATTTATCTTGGTGGAATCGGTTTTAAATTGTATTATTAATTTATCTATACTGCTTTGCAAAGAATGGCTGGGGCTTTGGGATTCTTGGGGGAAAGGTAATGTAAGAAAGAAAATGACTCTCTCAAGAATAGGGAATTTAGGCGCTGCACACCTATCTTGCAAAAGACCTTCACAATGACCTTGAAGGGCTCAGAGGCAAGTGTAGTTCCTCATAATTTGACGTGGCACATCCACATGCACACATGGGCACATGCACGCGCGCGCACACACACACCCGTATATGTCTAGATAAATACAAATATGCTATTGAAACAAAACTTTCACCTTTACTTTGTGTTTCTTTTCTCTTTTATTCTGTTACTTCTGTAAAATACTGGGTCTCATCCACTATGCTGATTGCCCACCCACCCCAGCAAGTCAAATCCCAGTCTGAAAAATGTGATGGGAGGCTGGGAACCTTTGCTCAAGAGGCAGGCAGTGCTGAGGTTCAGTCCCAGCTCTGCCATTGAGTATCCTGTGACCTTGTGCAAGTCCTTCAGCAGTTCCAAACCTTGGTTTATCATCTGGAGTAGGGGGTAGTTACTTCAGAAGTTCATTGTGGGGACAGTGAAGACCTGTACGCTCTTAGTGGGGACATTATAAAGCATCAGAGGGTTTGGTTGTATTATTTATTTGTCTAATTATATTTTACTTTATACATTTAAATAATGTTTTCATTATTTTTATCTTTTTTATCAGTTTTTTTGTTGGTGGTGGTCTTTTTGAGACAGGTTCTTGCTCTGTAGTTCAGGTTAGCCTTGAACTCACGATGTAGCCCAGGCTGCCCTCACACTTTGCAGCGTTTCTCCTGCCTCACCCTCCCCAGCGTTGGAGATTACAGATGTGCACCACCATACCTAGCTTATTTGTGCTTCGTTAAAATACCCTTTTGCCTAAGATATTCTTAGAGGTTTCTTATTAATAAATGTTCTCTGTAAATCCACAATAATGCCATTCTTTTCTCCTATCCTTGCCACAGTTGCTGAGGAAATTAATACTCCAGATATTCTTCATATTTCTAAGATTTGAGATTCCCACCCTAATGCACACTTACGGCTAAATGAGTGGGGCTTTCTTTGTCCTTGATTCTGGCCTTGGTGGCATGTGTATAAGACTCACTCCTGGGATAGCTCAGTGGTTTCGCCGCCTGCTGCGCAAGCACAAGGACCTGAGTTTGATCCCCGGTACCAAAAACAAAAAAAACAACAAAACAAGACTCACTCCTGGGAGACACCACCTACAGTCATCTCCTCTACCACACAGTACAAACCGGTCAGTTGTCACACTCGGAAGGAAAGCAAGAGTTCAGCAGACGGTTCTCGTGTCTGTAATTCACAGTAGAGCACACATGTCCCCTGGCACAGGGAGCATCAGCGAGGTGAACAGTCCACACTGCAGCTCCTTCCCATGCTGGCTCAGGCTGCAAGGGACCAGATCCAGCAGGGAAGGCAACACACAGCATCACGTGTCCAGTGCTCTCCCTAGTCCAGCCTTGAAAGGAAGGCTGACTTCAATATCGTTTGAATGGCTTTTCTTGCGTAATCTAATTTTCCTGGGAGTGAAGGCATTAATGAGAGGAAGGACAGAGTAGTCCTTTTATATGTGGCTGCAAATGGGCTGAACACTCAGCTGCATGGCCTGTGAGCTGTAAATGTATATTAACACTGATGCACATCAATGTATTATTAATCCTAAAAACCATGTGTATTCTGACTGCACATCCAGTTACTGGCCTTTCAGACCGAAGTAGCCCAGCCATTTAAGAACTCTTCGCTCCAAATCCATTTGCAGACGAGCGTCCATTCTGCATTATGGATCTGTAATGGAGTGTGCATTTAGCTGCTTAAAAGGACTCTCGGTGTGTGTTTTGCATTCACCACCTGCCCTGTGGCTGGGCACACAGTCCAAGTGTGCATTAGCCATGGTATATAATTGATACTTGTGAAGCAAATATTGAGTGGCTGTTAAGAGTACTTACTCCTCTGTACTCAGTTGCTGCTCCTGCAATCGGGCTTTGAACTTGTTGTATATTTTAATTTAACTGTTGATGCATATGGTGGACAAAATTGAAGCACTTAGAAAATAAGATTGCTTTCCCTTGTTTCCCCCATTTATTCTAGGAAATGTTGGCTGAATAGTGTTAGGCATAAGCTTCCACCTCTGCGCCCCAGAGTGTTTTTGAAATTCTCCCTTAGTGTTTTTGAAATGCCAGCATTTTAAGGTACCTTCCTGTGCATAACACAAACTTTCTCCGTTTTCTAAGCCTGTGTTTTCCAGACTTCAGTCTTTCATTTGCCAAATTTGTGGGTCATTAATACTGTTATTAACATATTTCATCAAATCAAGTCATTACATTTCCATAGATCTGTTTTTAAATGAACAATGTTAAAAGCTAAAATGAAAAGAGAAACTGGAATTGATTGCCATAAGTAGGGAATCTTATTGCCCCTTAATACCCAGAGACTAACATTTTCACAGTGGTGAGTGTCCAAGCCATGTCTGCTTCTAACATACTTATGTTACATCAGCAGTCCCAAAGTGCCCTTGAACACACGTAAACCAGCCTGACTTCTTGGGAGATCCACACCTCGAACACCTCATTCCAGAAGTAAGAGCTCCTAAAAATAACTGAATTCCCTGACTGCACCTGCAGGATGAAGTGAAACCGTGGAAAGAGAGGCACAAGGCTGTCACCGAACCAGCTTTAAGCCAGAAGAGCTAATAATTAGCACCTGATTTACTTCTCATGCATGAAGCCTGTACTTCCAGTTGTTTTTAAATAACAACAAAGAGCTCTAAAGTACTAAATATGTACAGGCATTATGCAAAGTACTTAATATACACAGTCCTATCATCCTAATATCAACAATTTGAAATTCATCCTGTTTTTTTTCTTTTCAGTGCTAAGGATTGAACTCAAGGCTTTCCACATGGCAGGCAAGCACTGCACCACTGAGCTATGCCCCACCCATGAAATGGATCCTTCTTTTAGCGTTCTTCTCTCCCTCGACTTTTGAAACTTTTTATATTAAAATCTTTTTACACTTCCAGACAAGTTACTGAAATAGGACATAGAATATCCGTAGTGTTTGCCCAGATTCCCCAATGTCACCATTTTAAATTTTCATCAGTCAGTCATCAAAACCTGAAAATTAACATCCATACAACAATATTAACTGATTTACATGTGTGTATATAATTTTGCCCTTCCCTTCTGGTTTGGGATCCCCATTTTGTTTTGTTGTCATGCCTCCGTGGTCCCTTCAGTCTGTCCATTCTGTGACAGTTCCTCAGTCTTTTCTTGTCTTTTATGACCTTGACCCTTTTCAGGAGCACTTCTTGGGTCTTCTGCAACACAGCCCTCAGTTTGGGCTTGTCTGATATTCTCTGATTAGATTGAGACTGTACCATATATAAAAGGTGCACCACTAATTTGGATATGAAAAAATTAACCTGTGATTTGTGTGTGTGTGTGTGTGTGTGTGTGTGTGTGTGTGTGTGTGTGCGCGCGCATGTATGCCTGGTTTCCACCTTACACACAAGGCAGAGAGACCGGAAATTCGATCCCACAATCTGTCAATGGCTATGACAAGTTGTCACTCACAACCCAAAGCAGGGAGAATGAGGTCATCGGGCAAGCAAGGACAGTGAGTTCTCGCTCTCCTGCTACCCACGACAGTGCCCACCACTGTCTCCCTTCTTTCAGGATTAAAAACCCTGAAGATGCCCTGAGCACAAGGTCCTCCCTCATCACCACTTTGCAGTCACCTTTGTTCCTTCTCTGACAGCCATACCCAGGATGCCTCGAGTTCTGCCAGTTTCTGCTGCTGTGGGCAGCCAGCACTCAGGCCCTCCTGCCAGGGGGAGAATTTGCCACGTTAGCAGGCAACATTCCCATCACATCCAAGTGACAGAAATACAGATTTACTTTTGAACTCACACTATGCCTCCTGTGCCCTCAGATGTGCCGTGCAGGCAGCAGCTGCCTGTCCCCTTATAAACCTGCCAGTCTGTATCAGGTCCCTTTAGACATCCTTGTGGTGAGTGGAGGGATGCGTCGCAGTGATCACAGTGCATTGGCAGAGCACTCCTTCTGCAGCCCCCAGCATGCTGGGGCTCCTGAGAGGCACCTAGGTCAAAATGGAAATGACCCTCACTGGGAAAGAACTTATCCTGGTCCTTACACATCATACCAAGTCAGTTGAGGGGATGGCACTTATTTGTACACTTCACATACGCTTACTCTGAGTCAAGTGCAGTACTGGGAGCCACAAATACAGCCATGAGGGGGGCAGCCACAAGCCCTGCCTTCCCACGGCTTCCAGTCTGAGGGAAGCACATTGCAATTGTGAGATAATTGTAACTAAGTCCAAATGCTGTGCTGTGAACTTGGAACTGTGAAGACATCACTGAGGAGGAGAGAGAGGAGTTTGTGAAGTGATGAAATGCACATGCTGTACATGAGGCATCGTTCAGTATCTTCAAGGATCCCTCCAGCAGGGGCTCAAAAAGCACCCCGGAAGGAGCAGAGAACTGCAGGGTGGATGATCCCAGCAGGTCCTAGAGAGGGCATA